TTCTGCAGTAATTAGCTGAGTGGAAAAGAATCAGCAGAAAGGGGTTGGGTGAGGTGGCAGCAGAAGGGTGAGCAGACAGCTTTCTCTGAGCCAGTTTGAAAATGTTTTTTCTACCAGTGGAGGAAAAGAGAGGCTGTCCATTTCCAGCTAACAAGCCAAGGAATTTTGGGAAGAACTCTACATGCACAGTGCATGCCACAGAAATTTTTAAAAGCAAATAAACCCCATTAGTGTTGTTAGTAATAGGCAATTAATTCTGTAGGTTTGAAAAATCTGGTATTATGATATACATTCTATTTACAATTATTTATGTACATATAGACAAATATTTTATAACCACAACATGTTCACCATATCCTGGTCCATGATCTGAGGAATTATATACAACACTCATGGATGGGCAGTGTGCACTACTAAATATAGGATGTGATGGTGGAAAATTTTGCCAGCTGTAAGTACTTGGCACTGTATTGTGCAGCTCTGGGGTTTTTGTTAGAGCTCCTTGGCACAGTATGGACAGTTCTTCCCTTTTTACCTTATTGTAGGTTTTAGGGAGCTTTCTTTTCCTTTTCAGAGCTGATTCATTTGTCTCCCCAGGAGATTTCAAGATTGTTGTCCTACTAAGAATTAGCCCAGCCCAACACATCTTTCCCTCGTTCTCAAGAAATAATTATAGTACTATTATAAAAAAGAAATTATCTTTGTCATTTATTCAGGAAAGATTCATTACAGTTGGTGAACAAGGGTATTCTGGAAGAAAACTGTTTAATGGAATACAGAGTTCTTCAAGCATGTGCAAATGCCACAAGTGTCTCTATTTTTAGTACTTTTCCTGGAAGATGCAATGGAAGACAGATTTTTTATTACGATTTTAACTGAAAAAATGTTGGACTGGATTAGAGGCAAGTCCTGCTTTTCACTCTCTGAAGGAATATTCCAAGACAGAGTGAGCCCATGTACAGGTGCCCTGTGTTTGTAAAAGAATTCTGAGCTGCCAGAATGTTTCCCACAGCACCATTCCATCAGCTGAGGTAAAACAGTTCAATAACTGCTGCAGTTCACAACAGGGCCAGCTGGAAATGAGGAACTGCCCTTCAATACAAGGTCAAGAATGTTCTGTGCTGCTTTACCTTGGTGGCTGATGTGGTCCCATGGGGTCATTCTGACATGGAAATTGCTGTGGGTAATGCAGTCTCACTAGGCACCTCCACAGTCCCAGCTGTTCCTCATGGTAAATCTCAGCTGATTCTGGATAAAGGGGGTCTGTTTGTTACTTATGAATCCTGTAGGAATCTGCATTGAAAAAGAAATTAATGAAGCCCTCTGTTAGGCTCATATTAAAAATGGCAAATGGATTGTCAGTCTTAAGTGACGTAAAAATCAAAGTACTGCAGTCTGTAAGTTCTGTGTCAGAATAATCCAAGTAATACCTAATAGAATATTGGACACAAAATTTATTTGACTAATTTACTAACTAATTTATTTTATTATTGAGTGCACTATTTGCAAGTAAAGGACTGCTTTATGCTGTCTGATGTCCTGAAGCATGGCATGTTTCTAAGCTTTCATTGGATAGAGACTGGATTTAAGTTCACGGGAATCAAAAAGGGTAAATTTTGTTTGAGAAAAATTTAAATGACGTAGTTCAATTCTCTTCCTTTTGCCTCATGGCTTCCCATTGTTACTCAGTAATTCCAATGTGCAAACACCTCATGAGTAAATTCTACTAAACCTTCTGCTGTGCCTTGTTCAGTTTTAACGCCATGAACATCACGAACAAGAGCCCTCTCTGTTTCACAGGTTCAGCAAAACGACTGGATACAATTAAGGCATGAAATTCATCTGACCAAGCACAGATATCTGAATGGATGAGCTATCACTGAATGCAGAGAAACAGGTAAGAATTATTTCTTTATACACATCCACATTATAACACCTTTTTTTTTTTGTTGCTTGCATGTCGGACACTTTATTTTGTGAACTTCCAATGGGTACTTTTAGTCATAAAGCACTCTGTAATGTGGGCCTGATTCTCAAAACCAGCCTATTAAATTTGCTTTAATTTATCAAATTTAAACTCCAGCTGCACACTGCAGTGTGCAGGACAATTAGAACTAATTTTCTCCTGAAGAAAGAATTTCTTGTAACAAAGACATTTACTCTAATTTCACATATACATTTGTGGCCTGTGCAGAATTAAGCTCACGTTTGAAAAATAACACCAGTTAGGGTTGTTTTTTGTTTTGTTTTTAAATAAAAAAATATGAAAAATCCCTAAACTAAAGCAAGAATAGACTAGAAATCAGCACAAGAGCAAATAAAACATTTCCAAAAATGGGGAAAATGTAAATTTCATCAAGATAACTATTAAAAAGTGTCATACTGCACCACAACAGCAACAAAAAAAGAAAAAAAAACTGTATAAAGCCACAAAATCCTGGATTAACAATGTTATTAACAAGTGTGCTCACTCAAAGAATCCCTTGTTCTTTCCTTTCTGGTTACCCAAACTCTTGTTTATATAAAAAATATATCTGATTAATAAATGTTTTCCTTTTGTTATACTTTTTTTCTATTGAAAAATATTTTCAGTAGTGTGATAAATTTTGAAATTAATTTTCATTAAATATATCCAGGTTGTGTGCATGTAACTATGTCAATTCTGCATCCTCACTACCAGGAATGAAAAAAAATTGGCAAAAGACAATCTAAAAGTGCACATACATGGTTTGGGTCAGCTATGAATGATTTTGAAGCTTCATTAACAAATAACAGACTCATACCTCCTCAGTAATGGATTTAATTGTGAGAAAGGCTCATTCCACAGATGTCCTGGTGTTGGCCATGGAAGCAATGAAAGGCAAAATGGATGATAAAATGATGAAGCAAAATCCACTTTTAAATTACTCTGTGGTGTGTCCGTATTTTTCAAAAGGTTTCAGGTATGTATGTTTTTTTTTCTGTAAGAGCACCTCTACCAAAAAAATGATTCAGATGTGGAATTCAGGCGGAATTTTTCAAGTGACAGCCACAGAAAAGAAGAAATGGTTTTTTCCCCACTGAAGGGCTGTGATCCTGCAAAACTCACATCCTTGTGCTGGACTGATGACTTCAGTGGGAATACTCCTGCTGACAAAATTACCTTTAGGGCTACAATAGGATTGAAGCTGCCCTTCTTTAAACAAGCTCATCAAATTGGCATTGTAGAACACCAGTGACTCCTGATCTTCAGAAAACTCCTTCCTCAGTTACAGCTGCCCTTTTTTTTTAATGAAAGAAAGAAAGAAAAATTTACTTAGTGCATTACTGCTACCCCACCTAAATTAATGCAATTATTCCAATATAAATTGACAACAGGGAATCAGGCCTCGTGTGTTTTTACTCTGTGATCTGGTCAGAAGCATAATCTTTTCTGAGCTGCTTTCTGATTTTCATTCTTTGTCACTGATCTACAATGGCAGCCTTTTCCAAGACTTAGGAAATACCTTGTGATTTACAAGCTGTAAATGAAGCAGTAAATACCATTATGATTACACAAAGTAGTAGTTCCTTTTGATATACACATAGATTATACTAATTACCCAAATGCACGTTTTAACAGAAGAGCTGCAATGCTTGAGTACATTGGAATGCCACGAACTCAAAACGACCCTCCAAAGGACACAGGAATGAAGAGAAGCATCTGCACAGGGTTACATGTGACATGCATTGTAGATCTGCGTGGGGTTCCCACAGCACGGCCATGCGGTCCTGCCCTGCTCCCAGGAGTGCATATCCCATGCAAAAGTTTGGAAATGTAGCCCAGCACAGTCTGTGTCAGTTGTCTGAACAAAACATGGAAGCTGGAAGTCTTAGAGAGGTACAAATATTATGTTAGGCCTTTGCTGACGTTTTCTTGCATGTAAATATGGCTATTGAAGGGTTCTAAAGGTAATACCTCGGACGTCCTTTAGAGATCTGTACTAAATGAAGATCTGGCCTGGAATGACCAGAGCTCCATTTCAGCAGAGTTTGCTTTTTAACTTCTAAAAGCAGTTAGAAGTAGGCTCAAGGCAACATGTTACCACACTGCTGTCCTGCGTCTCCTTTTCTGCCTTTGTGCAAGGTCACTGCATCCTGCAGCCTGTAACTTCCAGCAGCAGTGCGGCTGTACTGCTGTCCTTGGCTGGAAGAGGATATGGCTGGCCTGTTCCCACGGGAATGACCCCATCATCCCACCCGTGGCTGGCCCTCTGAGCTCTGCTGCTGCTGCTGGAGATGATTGCCTGTCCAACAGCAGAGACCTGCATGTTTGAAACAGAAGGCTCTTCTGAAATCTGTGTGAGCTGACAGAGCTGACAACCGTGTTTTACATGTGGTCATGGGAACACTACAACAAGTTTTCCAGTAGTAGAAGCAAATGCTGAGTATTACATTAAAAAAAAAAAAAAAAAAGGGTTGGAGGGGGATGGGGAATCCCAAGATGAGTATTACATTAAAAAAAAAAAAAAGGGTTGTAGGGTGATGAGGAATCCCAAGGATAAACAAATTTTCCAACCTCATCTAAAATTTAAAGCATAAAAAGTGTCAAGTGCTAAAGTAATTGAAAATCGAGAACCTTCCTTAAGATTTCAAACAGATTACTCTCACTATGCTTCCAATTATTCACACAATGAAAACTCACTACATAAAATCATCAGTCATTTCTGCAAACAATACTAATGTTTTGAGGCACCAGCTTACCAGCATTCAAACTATTAGAAAGTAATATAATGATAGGACACATACTTTTGGATTTAATTAAGAGAGAAAATAAATATTTATGTTAAACTTCTTTTTGATTGCACATTTGGTGTTGGAAGTTACATGGTCACAGAACATGAAAGAAGTCAAATACTTTTTGATCTACCAGCAAATTCTAAATACATCGATAAAGAAGCCACACCAGGCCAAATAGATTACTACTTTCAAGTAAGTCCATGAAAGTTTCCCAAATACTGTTATACAAAGTTACACATCCATGCTGAGTTATTCATCAATGTGTAGCAAGAGTCTTGCAGTAGGCCAGGATTTTATCGGCAGAGAACTGGTGGAGGAGCTGTGCAGTGTGATTAAAAATTCCAGTTTGGAAGCATTAACATAGAAGTACTTGTATAGTCTGAACTGGAGACTGCAGTTCTTGAAGTTGGGAAGAGCAGGAGGGAAGAATGAGAATATTTTTCCATTTTAGAAATGCTGAGGCACAAAACACAGTTGCTTGTATTACTTTCATACATGAAATCCTTTCTCCTGTATGTGCATCATGTGCAACCGCAAAGTCTGTAAACTGCTGACTATTCGTCTCTGGTGTCCAATGAGTGCAACTCCAATTCTTCTAATGTCACTGCAAGATAAAAAGTTTCATCTTGGATGCAAATATAATAAAGCCTCTGGTGCACAAAAGAGTATAATTATATGATGACTTCTTCTCCAGGACAGTTTACCTTCCTGGCCACGGCATATAAGAAAGCTGCAAATGTTCAATTTTTCTGCATCTGTCAATTTCAATTTTTGAAAAAAAAAGTAATTTAAGAAACAGAATATAATAAAAAGATGTATTTAGAGCACAGGGGCTCAGTGCTCTAAATTAGTGATAGTGGGGCTTATTAGTGATACTAATGGTCAATTAATCTTTCCAAATCTCAAGGACTAATCAGAGAGGTGAGTTCTAATAGCCCATTTCTAGTAATGTGATTGTAGCAATTGTTTCCTGCTCATACTTGAAAAGGACTGGGGCTTACACACACAGTATCACAGTTCTGAGGCAGAAATAACAGAGGGGGTGCTTCTGATGATTTGGGGAATGGCAGTGAGGTAGTGAGAGATGGTCTAAAGATTAAATGAGCAGTGAATCGTCCAGACTGACCCTGATTTCCCTCCCAGTTCCCCTTCATCTCATCTAGCCCTGCACCCCAGAGTGGGTAACTTTTGTCACGCACAGGGCTTGACTCTTTGGCAGGCATGAAGTCAACAGCCACCAGAGTTCAGCACAATCCACCAACTTAGTTTTTCTATAAACATCCCCAGCTGCAAGATCTAAGAAAGATCACAGAGGCGCTGAGGACAGGAAACTTCAGATATGCCAGATTTGTCAATTATGCAAATCCCACACTGGGACATACACAGATATTGCCTATTTATGCTCAAAAACTATATGATGATAGAACCAGTAAAGGAGCTCATGGGATAAGGCATGGCCTTCATGAATTTCAGATGTGCAGTTCCAGGTATCTGCATCTGATCTCCAGATTGGTATCCTCCAGCTGAGGAACCACTGCAGAGCTTGCAACTATTATGTGCTTAGGCTTAACATTCTCATGGGGTATGATAGACAACACTTGAGGTCAGCAAAAATATTGAGAAGCTAAAAGGAGTCAGTGTAAAGAATAAAGCTTTACAGTGGAGAGTGGTCTTAGAAATGCAAGACCAATGCTTAGCAATTATCAAGGAAGGCCTGATAAAGCACAAAAAGAAGCCAGCAGGTCTTGTGTAACACAAATTATTTGAAGAAAGAGGGAATTCTTCAAAAAGTTGAATGGTATCTAAAGAAAGTAGAAAGGATAATAACCTTAGATTAGCTGTAAACACACAGTAAGGCAGACTAAAAAGGAACTTGAGGAGCAAACAGAAAAAAAAGCCCAACAATAAAATAAAAAAAACCCTGAAACTTTTGTAATAAATCTTTTTGCAAACTCACTGGGTACAAGAAACCTGCCATAAAATGTGTAGAGTCTAACGACGATTTGGGCATAAAAGAGCACTTGAAGGAGTGGCCATTGTTGGAAGACTTAACCATTTGAGTTGACATTCACTGTGGAAGAAATTGAAATTACTCCCATGCAGATCCTTTCTGGGGGACTTGCCAGAGTATCTGTCTGAAGTGACTGCAGGAGAGGTTATAGAAAAAACTGAAAAACAAGCAACAACCCATGTCCAGAGAAGATTATATTTAGGCAAAAGTTCCAAAAGAAAGTGAAGATGAAATAATGGACTTACTATCAGGGCTGTGAGAGAGGGAGTTACCAGCTGTGCTCCACATGTTAAAAAATTTTTGGTGCCTGAAGAATGGAGCATGGTGCTAGACAAAATATTTCCAGGAAGATCTGGGAACCACAGACCCATGAGTCTGTGATCATTACAGAGCATAAGAGAAATTACAGGAAAGTACAAAATTACTGGATGCTTGGATAAACGAGCTGCTTGAGTCACCATGGCTTTTGCAAATAAAAGTTCTGTTTTATTAAATTACTTGTTTCCAGTGGATGGAGATGATCCATTTGATACACCTCACTTGGATTTCCAAAAGCTTTACAGAAGATTCCTCTCAAAAGCTTTATAATGAAATGAGGAGCAACTTCTGTGTAATATAGGGTATAACATAATATGTAGCACAGTGTGGTCTTTGCATGACTAAATAACTGTTTAAATACAGGACCTTAGCAGTAAATGGTCAGGTTTTACAATGCAGTTATTGATACAAATCTGCAGGGACCTCTGCTGGGAGAATGTTGAACATTATTGTTCAACAAATCAGTAAATGGTCTGGGAAAATAGGTGAGCAAGAGGTGAACCACTCAGCTGGTGAGGCTGAATTGTTCAGGGTAGGAAGGGAAAGGGGCAGCTGTGCAGAGTTTGGGAAGGATCTAGACTGTGACTATGCCATAATGTGGTAGATGGAATTCATTGTAGGTGAATATGAAATGATGCACGTGGGAGAAAATCAGTCCAACTTTACATGTAAAATTCTTCAATCTCAACTGACAGCTACCATTAATACAGGCAGTCCCAGCATCCAATAAAAGATTGGGAATTCATGGGAAGGGAATAGAAAGCAAAACAGATCCCATCATCGTGCTACCATATGAATCCATAGTTTGCCCAAACACTTCTGTATTGAGTGCAGGGTTTGCATTAAAAAACCATAGGGTGGTGTCAGAGATGGTTGGAACTTCATTATTAGGACTGATAAAGTCTTGATGATATTCATAGCAAAGTAAGAAAATATTTTTGCCACTATTTTTGATTTCAGTGGTCTAGATCAAAACTGATTCCCCAAGAAACACGCTCATCCCTGGCCTTTGGTTGTGTTTGGTGTGGTCACAGAGTGGATCTATCAATTCTGGGTCTCTCCATCATGCATTTCTTGTGGTTTTTGCTAATTAACTGTATTAGCTCAGTTTTGTGAGCTGAGGAAGGAAAGAAAATGAAAGCACTGTTCCATACTCCACAATATTTGTGTGTCTGCAGCATCAAAATTCATACTTACTCAATATTCATTCTTGAAACCATGTCCAAAGTTGTGAAACCTGCTGCCATGAAGTTATTTTTATACTGACCCATTTTTATGGAATCCAGCCAGTCACTGACTGAAACAAACAAAGGATATTCTGGAACTTCACCAGGTGAATCTGGCATTCTGTAAACAAAAAAACCAAAACAAAAAAACCCAACAAAACAAACCAAACCAAAAAAAAAAAGCAAAGGTTACCAAGCAATCCAAATATGACACCCAATTTACCCTGGTAGACATAGCTTTTACTAAAAGGCAGAAGGAATGAGAAAGGAGTCTGAGCTGTAAAGGTCAGACCTTAACTGAGGATCTCTTTAACCCCTTGTCTAAAACTTATAAATCACTTCAGTCTGCCAAGCTGCACTACTTAAACAATACATTTTATTAAAGAACTGCAGCTCAGTAACACACAGAGGAAAAGGCCTCTCCCACTGAACTTCTTTTTGTTCTCCAGAATGTTTCCTTGGAGATCGACATGTTCAGGATTGTAATAATTTTTTGTTACAGTAGTCAATGTAGAGGACAATGAAAATGTAGCATAAGATGCAATTAAAAAAATTAACCCACCATGAGATGATTTTTACATTTACCTACAACCACCCCACCCCAGATGGCTCCTCATTGTGATACCATTATGCTACAGGAACACTTTGATTACAGTACTCAAAAGCTAAAACTCGCCCTAAAAGAAGCCAAAAGAATAAATTGTCATATCTTTGCTTTTACATAGAATTACATAGAGTAGCAAATAAAATGGAAGGAGCTAATTTAGTCACATTTCTTTTTGAGTTCTTTCCCCTAATATTATCACAACTGAAACAGAAAGATGGAAAAAAACCAAAAAACAGATTGCAGTTTTGGGGCATTGATTTCCAGTCTTCTGTTGTGTGCCACATTTGGGAGGGCTCACAACTTCCACTGGCTTTATGCATTTTGTGTGTAGAGAAATTGTATGAACAAAATGCAGAAAATGCACACTGCTGTTTGTAAAAGCTTTATGATAGTCTTTTGGAGAAAGACACAATTTATTGTAAATGAAAATTTAGACAGCAAAAGCCAGCCAACATTTACTGATGGAACATGACTTCATGTGTAATGTAAGAAGCAACACAGCCTCATATCTTAATGAACCAAGTTTCACCCACACATACTCAGATAAGAGTAAGTACAGTGATTTTCATTCATATTATCAAAATGATAGAGGGAGAAGCTGAAGGACAGGAGAACACTATTAAGTACAAACTGTAATTAAAGACCTACCACGGTCCCTTCCCATCTGAATTACTCTATGATTCTATAGAAAGTTACCCAACAACTGCCTCAAACATTCTCAAATGAATGGAAAAAAACTTTCACAAGCAGTTGATGTCAGTCATAGTTCAATAAAGCATAAGTTTTTTAGACCCTAAGTTATGATTTAAACAAAAAGAGATAAAAATACATCACTCTGATGCTAAAGAAAGTGATCGAGGCACAAATAGCAAGTTATATATATATATATATATATATATATATATATATATATACACATATATATACATACATAGAGGACACCAACTCTAGGGCATGGATATTTAATCCCACAAGTCTCCCTAGTCTGTGTTGATGAAATGGCTGTAGCCCTCACTCCGTGTTTTCCTACCAACTTCTCCATTCAGCCTTTCCCACAGCAAGGTACCAGCCCCAGTTTTGCATTGTTGCTCAGCCCTTGTCAGAAACATTTAAAGGTTCTCAGCAAGGCCAACTCAGGGCTGAGAATCCCTTAAAAGCCCACGGGGTCTCCATGAAAGCATCTTTATCTTAAAGTGATTCTTAGTGACTGAAGAGTGAGGCCACCTGGACCTTGGCTGATTTCAGCTGATATATGCAGGGACAGCTTGGATCAATAAGCCTACAAATACTGACAAATTCTTCCACCTCAGCCTTGCTTATCCTGTGGCTGCATTCATTTCTGAAATATTATTAATGAAAAATACCCAAAACCCAGGCTACACTATCAATAATTTGTTGTGGGATGGTAACATCATAGTCTGTTATTTGGTCACTGCTGCCATTCTGCTGCAGACAAATAAAGATTTAGCAAGCTAAGACACAGCTACTTTCTGCAGGATATTACTCCAAGGCAGTTCACAAATTGCTTGAGCACTGTCAGATGGAGAGACAGGCTGCTGAATGGGGAAAAAAAATTATAAAGAGAAAACAAGCACATAGAAAAACATACACACACACACACAAAAGAACAAAGAGATTCACAAAGATTAAGGATAGATAGTGCACAAACAGAATCAGATGAAAATAATACTAAAAAAGCCTAATATAATCTGCATGGCTTGAGGAAAAAAAACCCAAAAAACTTTCTTGTACAACAGTGTATTAACAATAAAGCAAACCTTAAGAGGGGCTTAAAATTATTTGAACCTGCATAACTTCATGAACTCAGAACTTTGTGGTTCTTCCACCCATACTTAATACCCTAAACCACAAAATGATAGCCACTATGCGTTATGACAAAACAAAATGTACCAAAAAGAGTCTTACACAAGTACATCCTCCACTAGGGTGTGAAGGGTGCTGGGGTTGCGGATCAGCTTGTCCAGGAAGCTGACAATGTCACTGAATTTGGGACGGTGGTTCCTCTCCTTCTGCCAGCAGTGAAGCATGAGCTGGTGAAGAGAAGCTGGGCAGCCCATGGGAGCTGGAAGCCTGTAGCCCTCTTCAATGGACAGTATAACCTACAGAAATACAATCTGTATGGTTACCAGGCATGAAGTGCTGAAAGGACAGTGTGACACTGACAATTAGAAACCAGGGATGATAAATTATCCTTGGCACAGCCACCCTCATTTTATGCATTGCTGGGACTTCACTCAGGGAATCAGGACTGGCAGGGGCGTGACCAGAGGAGACAGGAAATATTTTGTAGGCATATGAAACACAGTAGGAACTTTGTTAGGGTCACTGGTCATCCTCTTCAAACAGCTAAGAAAGCAAGAGGGGAATAAAGAATTCAGCAATACCACCATCATTTTTCACTTCAGGGGGCCACAGACTTACTTGGTGTGGCCACTGCATCCCACCATGCTCTAATATTTGCATTTTGACACAGTGTTTGTGTGCAGCCACACCCCAGTACAGTCAAGCACCACAAATACACATTGTGGCACCTGACAATTTACTTGGTATTCACATATTTCTGCTGATCCTCAGAGTATGATTACTTCTGGCAATGTCCCCCACACCAAGATACAGCAATGTTATTTTGCACAGTCTCCCTCAGAAACCTGGATGTCTGAGATGTTTGTGACTAAACAAAAGTTAATAAAATTATTGTATTACCCTAAAGTGAATGAGACCTTCAGATTCAGCAGACACAGAAAATGTGTTTGATAAAGATTCAGAGAGAAACAGGTGTGCTGTTGCAGGTAAATCACTTGTATGAAAATCATGTAAATCACATGTTGATCCAAGTCGAAGGAAAGCTTATTTCTAGTAACATGGGTAGCAAAAAACATTGGTTGAAAAGAAGAGTAGCAACCTGGCTTGATAGGAGTTAGCAAAACTAGGTAAGTTCCCTTGAAAACTTCATGGATTCATAACAGCTTACATGGACTTTATGTTTAAAAGGTTTAAAAAACACAAGGGAAGGTCAGGAGGTTCTGCAATGAGTGGTGGTAGCAGTGGGGATGATGTCACAAATTACAGTCAGGATTATTTTTTCTGCAAAGAGGAATGCAAAACTAGTCAGTGGCTGATCAAAAACGAAGCTAGGAAAAAGACCAGCCTTACCACACATGCATAACCCTCCCACATAAAAATCCAGTCAATGTTTGGTAATGTACAAATGATTGCACACAGTATTTATAAGCACACAGTGCACTTAGGAGGAACATACCTGCTGCACTGATAGCCACTGTGCTGCAAGGAAACATTCATCATTTTCACACAGATGTACGTACATGCTGCAGACACATTAATGCAGCTGGAAGGGGCTACATTAAACTGTTTACAGCAAATCAATGTTTTATAGCACCAGCTCTGGCTTCAGTACATTCAGTCTTATTATCCTGGAATATATCCCCGTTCTCTATGTGAATTCTGAATTAATGCTGGTTCTGCTCAGCAATGCCTAATGCTTATGCTGCAAGCATTATGTAAATAAAATAAGAGTAAGGAAGCCACGTTAGGACCTGAGCTCCCCTTGATGGCATGGCAGGAAATGGGAACGAGCCTTCTGTAGCTGCTCACAGCTGCTTGTCTGTTTTATAAACAGGTGACCTGGTCCTGTAATGTACATGCTGCTGTTACAGGAAAAAAATACCACCATCCCATTGCCAGGGAAATATTTCCTTCAGAACCTTTCCTCCCAGTGATAAAAATGCCCCCATGGACTCAGGGCAAAACTCAACCACGTGCATGGAATTTTATTCATATTTGTTTTTCCATTTATTATTAGTGTATCTCAAGCAGTTTGTCAGAAGTGGGTTCATAAAACACTCCTGACAGAGAGGGGCAGAGCTTAGTTGGTACTGGCCATCCTTAGTTGGTACTGGCATCCAAATGCAGATACTGAAATTTTTTACATTTAACTGTGCCGGTTGCAAATGTGCAATTTATGAAATGTATTTTGTTTTTAAGGCAACAGGAAAGCTGCTCTACTTTTCAGAGACATATAGCATTTGCTCAACACAACAATAGAGGGCTGATGAGGTTTTGCTGAAGTAATTTATTCAGGAAAAACCCAAAAGCAACCATCATTTTCCAGATATATTTTCTCTGCCACACTTTATTTTAACATATCTCTGAAAATGAAATCACAGTGCATTTTTTTCCCTCTCTTGTTCAAAAGGAACATTTCAGTATGAAGAGAAATGCCAGCTGGTACTGCGATAATTATAATTTCTCATTAATACCAGCACATTTAAAAAATAAACTGGAAATATTGCCTCATTAGTATCCCTTGTGAGGCAAGCATTATTTTTAGATTCTAAGGAGCAAGAGTAAAGATGTGATAAGTGTCTAATACTGCAATGGGAATCAAGTCTCAAAGGAAGAATTAGAGCATTTTGGCTCCTCATTTATTTATATATTTGTTTTAGCTCTTACTCTGCCATGTACATAGCACCCATCTCTCTCTGTCCAGAGAAATCAGATATCCATGTACCTAAAAGGGAAGAAGTATTAAGTTTTTCTTAGTAATGTAAAGCTGTATATTATAAAACATTTAAAGATTTTGCATGTTAACTCCTCTCAAATGCCTTTTTCCCTTGTCAGTTTAAGGCTGACAAAGCACCACAATAGTGATGAAATCTGCATCTACAGGAAGGGTACAGCAACAGCTTGTTTGATGTTAGACACAGCTGTGAAGTTTGAATATTAACAGAGTTAATACTGGTTAAGATTGTCTGAGCAGTATTTTACGGACTTCTACACAAAATTGATACATGTGCAATTTCAAAATAATTGGCAACTGGCAAAAATGCCATCTGAAAATGAAGCTGTAATCTTCCTGATGGTTTCATTATTAATAGTAACAGAGATTCTTGCTTTCAAAAGTTAACTGACAGCTTTTTTAATGAGACTGAGACAGAAGAGAGTCCAGAGGGACATTGTCCCTGTGTCCTCCTGACATCTGAAAAATCTACCAGGAGGGAGAGGCAGCTGCTGCTGCCTCATGGTACAGAGCCAACCCATGCGCCTGCCAAGTGTTTTGATATCTGTGAGTTGAAAGAGCTATATTAGGATAAGTTGGGTTTTTTTCAGTATTACAAGAAACTTTCAGGAGCGTAAGGAGTTTTATTCTGTTTGCTACAGTAGTTTCCTTGAATACCAATTACAACCCATTAAATATTCTTTTCATTTTTTTTCCTTCTTTTTGAGTACTGCAGCTCTGCAACATGCATTAATTTACACGGTGGCCTCTAACAGGTGTCCCAGTAGACTTCACTCACAGCTGTTCTACAAACCAAATGCATGGAATATAAATCTTCCTTGCCTCACATGAACATTAGCAAGCCAGACTCTTAGCACAATCTGTTCATCAGTACACTAGTTTCCTTGGAAAGTTCAATATCTTGGCTAATGTTTATTAATTAAGCAATAAGACACGACAGACTGTGCAGCAGCCCTAATTAATGGACACCTCTGGTGCCTGCCACACATCTAAGAAGTGCATTAATCAGCACCAACACAGTTTGGAAGTGACTTACCACAATAATAAAATGGTTATTTACTTACACAAAAGCAATTCTCAAGCTTAGCAACATTTTTAAGCCTCTGCATTATGCAGAGACTTAAATTTATTATATGTACAGTATTAATTTTATGAGAAGCATTTTGCAACTCGGTTTCCTTAAGTTCAGCTTCCAAATCCTTGCTGGGGAATATAAATAGAGGATGCTGGATTTGCAGAGGTGTTGAGTCATTCTGGATACCTGTGAGCAGCTGTAGTCTCTGAACACCAGACTGGGTTAATTTAGGTGGCACCTACCAGTTTAAAACTTCTCTCATCAGCTGTGTTCATCACTTACTTAGCCATGGTCTAAAAAAGTGAGTTCATTTTCCAAAGCTGTATAATTAGAAAAGCAATTGGTAAGATGGAATGAGAAAAAAACCCCAAACCAAACCTGGCTTTGCAGAGTTTATACTTGGAAAACTTACGGTGATCTACCAAAATCCACTCAATTCAAGAAATATTTTAATTGCTATCTAGAGAAGGGCTTTATTATGATCAAAACTCAGTAAGTGTCTTAATGGTAATGCCAGCAGACATTCTGATGTAGCAGAACCTCTGACTATACCCATGCAAGACCTTATTAACTGTTGTTTGCATCCTGTGTCTTTTTTGAATCTGTTTAGTGCACATCCCTCTCTGCTGCTTTCTCTGCCATCTGTACAGTACCACTGACCTTTGAAAGTCCTATTATTTCTGCAAAACAAGCCCATAAGAATTCAGGGCAATTTACTGTATTTCCAATATCCAGTAAAATAAACTTTGCATTATGTCTAATAACTCGAACTTTCCCAATGACACTTGAAGTCACTAAACATATGTAGAAGGTCACAGATGCTCACTGCTCACATTCTGGCACTGAAATCCTCTGGGTAGGAGAAAAGGAGTCCTTTGTGCTGGGGACTGCTGTACTGCAGGGAAAGCTCCCAGCAACTGGCATCATTAGGGCCTGCAGCATCATTTTGTATTAACAGACATTTTTATTTTGGATGTAAGAGTAATTAAACATTGCTATCTTCATGCTGTAGCCAAGTATTTGATATACTCTAAATGGAGAGGTTTGTGATAGTCTCTTTTTTTTTTTTTTTTTTTGTTTCTGACAGGTTTGGTTGTTTCTTTCCTTTTCTTCCTGAAACAGTGAAATTATTTTTTAAAATTTAAATCTCAGATCCTTATCCCCAAATGACCGATCAGCCTTAACAATCAACCAGACTTGAACAGCTGAATAACTTAGCAACAATGTAAAAACAGCCATCTGGGAAAGTCTTGTCAATTCTTCAGAACCAATGCAGGAATATTCTAGGCACATATATGAGAGAGGTTAAGGTGGCTTGGCTGATATTCCACATTTTGACACAGAACTTGATGGCTGGTGTGAAGACTGAGTGTACCAGTTTGAGCTGTCACGGGGATCCATCAAACAAGAGAATTTGTGAAAATTTAAATTGTGGTAGAGAAAAAAACCCTACAATTTCCCCTTTCCCATATTTCTCTTTCTAGAACAAGCTTTCAATTATACTAGAAGAAAATTTGTGTTTTTTTTTTTTTTTTTTTAAAATTGAGATTCCAGCCTAGAAAGAGAACAAGACAGCAAAGCAGGGCAGGGAGTGGCAATAACTTGTAAAGCACATTTGAAAAAGATGCAGATGAATCCTGGGCAGCACTCACATCCTGGTTGGACATCTCCCAGTAGGGCCTCTCTCCGTAGGACATCACCTCCCACATGACAATTCCGTAGCTCCAGGCGTCGCTGGCTGAGGAGAACTTGCGGTAAGCGATGGCTTCGGGAGCAGTCCACCTGATGGGGATCTTCCCACCCTGCAAACAGGTTGAAAACTTGTCAAAATGATTAGGATACAGAATAACACAGATTTTAAAAGAAAAGGAAAAAAAAAAATCCTGGATTCTGATATTCTACGTTCTGATTTCCGTCAGTTTGCCGTGTCAATTTGCTGTAAGTGGAAAGGAAAAAATATGCCTTTTTTATGGAATTTGAAAAAAAAATTGATTTCATCTCTAGTCTAATTCACCAGTACCTGCACTCTGTGAAAACAACCCAGTTCAAAGAGCAGAAAGCATTTGAGATGATTAATGTTTGTTCAGGCATATAAATAATCAGAACATGCTTTTTGGTGAAGAACATCCCAAGCCTTAAATTCCTAGTTCATTGACATTTAAGCTTTTTCTCTAAATGAGACAGAAACATTTATTGCAAAATGGAGCACTGAAAGCTCTTAATAAAATTGTGTAATCAGGAAAGAAACTATACGTGTTCTATATGCCTTCAAAGCATTACAGTTGGTGATATATTTTACTTTTTGTTGTGTGCTTTAAATATCCAGGTAGAAAACAAACCAAGAGTGCTTCTAAATAGGCATTTCTTTAGGATATTTGATACTGTCATTCTGCAGCTTACAACTTAAAATCCAAGCTCTCCCACCAAAAAAAAAGAGCAAGAAATCAGTCAACAAATCTAACTTACTGGTTACAAGACCATAGGATGCAGAATTTTTCTCTTTCATCAGTACTTTACACCACTGAATCTCTTCTATTTTCTCATAAATAGTTTTCTGTGTGAAAACTACTTTTCCATCTCAGGAAAAAAAAAAAGTTAAGAAAAAAAAAAGTATTTCCTCTCTAGGTACATTCAAAAGTGTACTTTTTTCTTTTCAAGAGTGTACACTTATCATTCTCACTGAATCCTTTGGAGAGGAAAAAGCAGTATAGTGAAAGTGCCACTAGATGGTAGAAGGAGGCAGTCAGTAGAGCTGAGCTCACTCAGCAGTAGCTGCTTTCAACAAGCAGTAATAGATTCTGCTCAGTGTTATAATTGTATTTCTGACTGAAACAAAAGAGGAAATGAAGTAGAACATCCATTTGGCAATGAAGAGAGGCCACAGTTAAAAACAAGTATGTAAATCTCTGCTAATTTGCTTTGAATGTATGAAAAATTATCAGAGACTTGTGGAGGCCTGACTTTGGCTGGTTGAGAAGCTGTTTGTTCTACCAATAAATTGTTCCAAATCCAGGCTCTGTGTCTGAGGGAATGTGCCATTCAGCCAAGCTCTCCTTGCTGGTGGAAAATGCATGGTTAACATTTATGTTGTATGACAGTGGCCAAGATGTCCTTTGGACATTTTTACATCTTTTGCAGCTGCTTTTTCAAAGCCTTTGCTTCCTCACATGTGGTAAATCACTCACTGATCTAAGCACTAATAAGGTATTTTTTGTATTTTTGCCCAAGTACCTTCACTATCTGCCTTTTATTTATCCATTATCCTGGTGGTCAGATCACTCATCTGGTGCATCAGAGATGCAAAAGACTTTGTGCCTCACCTGCTGCCACGTGCCCTCACCAGCCCTGCAGTGTGTGATGCTCTTGGTCCCCTCCTGGTACAGCTATTCCACTTGAGAAGCAATTAAAAATGCTTTTTGGGAGTGTGAATGAAGAAACAGGGGGACAAAAGAGAGTTGTAACACAAAGTTCTCCAAGGAAAGGCCAGGCTGATTTCTTGTCTCTTCTCCAGGAAAGATTTATTTGTACCCTCTAAAGAAATTGGTTAAGAGCACTTGGTGTTTGATCTCCCAGTCTGGTTTCAGTGGTCTTTTCATGGAATATGCAAGGCCAGGCTCCCTGAGACAATGGAAAAATCAGCTATTCAATGCCACAAATATGCACCTTACACAAACCAAAAGGATGCATCTGAGAAACAAGAGAGTTTTAGGGTCTAACTGTAAAAGATACTTCAAAAATATCTTTTCACACCTCAGAATTATGGGCTTTTGTCCTTTCTACTGGATCTGGTTTAGTTCTTATAAAAATTTTATCACCAAACTTATGTAATTCCATCCTCAGAAAGATTCCTGTTTTGGAGAGTTTTATTAATAATTTATTATTTTTTAATTTTAACGGAATTATTATGTTAATAATTAAATATCTAGTTGTAGGTAAAGGCAAAACTATACACATGAATCAGAGGCATTTGGATATTTATAGATTTTATTTTTAATATATATATTAACATAGTATGGATAACATAACAGGAAAACTATTTTTACACTATATCCTTTTCTTATATCTGATTTTGTATTCTCAAATTATACTCAAAAGAGAGGGCACATCTTGAGCAGTGTTTGCAGCTAGATTTGTGACTCCTGGCAAAATAAAAATGAGTTTTAAAGAATCTTATCAGACTCTATAACTACCTTCATGACACAGCTTCACTGACTGATCCCTTCTGGACTGAAACAGTAGCGGCTCATTGAGTGTGAAAATGAGAATGAAGAACAGAATCTTAACAAAATTCAAGGCAGTTCACATTCAAGGGCATAAGATGTGTTCAGAGTTGTAATGTAAAATAAAACACTTTTATGCTGGTTCTAAAAATCTCTAAAATTTTTACAATGGATTCATCTCATGTATGAATGTGTTATATTAATGAAAATGTGAATTTCAATACTTAATTATGGTTGCAGTATATATTTTTATGCAAAAAAAGTTGTTTTATTTATTTGAAAGGCATTCAAAAGGTAGAGACTGCAATATGAGTACCTTAAGGAACATGTATGACTGAGCAGTAGTAATAGCTGCTCATGCATAATGAAAGAACACCTAAGGTTTAGAGTGGCTGAAAATATATTTCCTGTTTCTGATTAGAGTAATAAACAGTGTTACTGATATTGGATATGCCTTTTCATATTTTAATCTAACTGGGGAAATAATAAATGTAATACTTACTGTTTGCACAACGCCTCACCTTCAAATTAAGATAATAATTTATAAATCATCTACATTTTGCTGCTATAGCAATGAGATCGCTCAGAGCTGCCTGTGTTAGAAAGCCCTTTTTGCTTTTAGGTTATTTTCTCTTTTTTTTTTTTGTTTTTTGTGGAGGGGTTGGGAGGATGGGCAGAATGGGTGTTAGGAAACAAATTGTTTTTCTGCTTCATCTCATACATTAATAATGATATCAGTGATAACCTAATTTTGTTTTCACACAGTGAAATAACACTAACTCCACTGTTCAAATAATTAGAATTCAGCCTTTTTTCCCTGTATGCTGCCAGCTGAACAGTGCCTATCTCCTGATTTTTTTTGTGGTTGTAACTTAATAAGCAATTTTACCACACAGCATAAGAGTCCCCTTGGAATTATAATATTAGGTTCACATTGCTTAGCTTGTAGAACTGTTCAGAGATGAGCCCTTGAAATGAAATTTACCCCCCCAGCCACACCTACACACACACTGGCTTTCCCTGCAGAACTGGCACCAGCACAGTTTGCACACATGTGAAGGCAGGACTGGAGCTCCGTGGTGCAGAACACCTCACTCTTTACCTCAGGCCATGCAGGAGAGAGTGACAGTCTTCACCAGGTGCCATCTCTGAGCTCACACCACCAAAAAGTGCTTATGATGTCTTGTGTGGCCACAGCTGTGTTTTTGTTTCCTCCAGTTTGATTTTTTTTTTCTATTCTACATGTTAGACATCTCCTTAAACCAGGAGGCATTAACAGTTCCTTTAATTAAAAATCTAACTATATTTCCAAACTCCAGCAGAACAATGTTGCTGGCAGCTACAGCCCATGATTCCACCAAAAAAAGGTGGGGATGCATCAGCAAGCTCAAAACGTGTGATGTGAAGAAACAAAGGAGGAAACCTTTGTGATGCCCAGAACTTCTGGCACGCCCTGGTAGCTGATTAAAGTGAGGAGTGGTAACTGAGAGCCTGAGGTACAAAACTGAAGGCAAGCTGTGTGTGAGCAGCCAGCAGCAAACCCAGTGAGTGCATCAGGCTGACTGCACCCCAGAGGTGTGAGAAATGCCTGTTCCTGTGGAAAAGCCCCTTCTGTGTTCTCCTGGAATGACAGACACTTCAGAGGGACTGTCACAGCGCCGGCTGCAGGTCTCCTAAATGCTGAGGTGCAAACCCATCAGATGCAGATGCACAGGTATCCAGAACTGTGTGAATCTGGGAGAAAAGGTGCTGAAGTGTGGGCACCATCAGTCTGATCTGGCACAGGAATTCCTGTGCATTTGTCAGTTACTGCTCCTGCATGTGCGGTGGCACTGAATCGTGCAGTCACTGTCCAAGACACAAGCAGAGTACCTGTCTTTACCTCAGTGACAGAAACAGGGGAAAAAAAAGAACTTCAGAGTGAAGAGAGACACAAGTAATGGAAGAGACTAGTTCTAAATATTGGACATAATTCATCATTCAGTACAAAAACCTTCTGCCACTTCACTAGAGTGATGCTTTTATTTGATGCTCAAATTTTTCATGTGAAATGGTACAAGTAGTCAGAATTTAACATCCTCAAATCATAATTTAGAACTATTCAGTACTATCCACAGTGTTCTGTTGTGCCTATTGAAAAGTGTCTATTGAAATACCAGAGAAACTACATGGCAAGATAACAAAACTGCTCTGCAAAAACATTTCAGAATTTGCACTCATTATGCCAATTCCAGTTAGTTCTACCAGTCTCATTTCACTCAGAACTGAAATGAATAAACCCCCCTGATTTTCAAAAAGACTGAATTTGCTTTTAATCTCTGGGAAAATATTAATTTTCTTTCAAATGTCCTGATTAACAATGCTGAAGTTAAATATGTGGAACTTGATTTCCTCCCTAAGTTAGCTATTCAAATTTTCAGAACAAGTTATTTATGGTTTTGAGAGTATGTTAATTTTAGTGGCTGTTAACCCCTACACTGCACATCTATTTGTGCCTTCCAAAAGAGGGAAAGCTCTTGATGGATGGAAGGAATCAGCACTGAAGATACTGGCAGAATTACAGCAGACAAGATAGAATGCCT